AAACCCACCCGACCCTAACCCACTAACCCACCCGACCCTAACCCACCTAACCCACAAACCCACCCGACCCTAACCCACTAACCCACCCTTCGACCCACCCTAACTCACTAACCCACCTTGACCCGTCTAACCCACGAACCTAGCTCGACCCACCCATGACCCGTCTAACCCACAAACCCAGCTCGACCCACCCACGATCCGTCTAACCCACAAACCCAGCTCGACCCATCCACGACTCGTCTAACCCACGAACCTAACCCTGGTGTGTCCAACTTCTCCGACCCAACCCACGACCCGGCCCACCCTACCCTACGTGTGTCGTGTCGTGTGTCATGAAACCCCAACCCGCGACCCACCTAACCCTAACCCAGCTCGCACGACTCGCACGGTGGACACCTCTACATGTGGGTTATTTATCTCAGGAGAACTCTATTGACTTAATCTAAACCAAATTAATCAATCGTAAATTAATAAATTGTACCTAGAACTACTAGACTCAACCCGATTTGAACCAACCCAAACTCAAATGATCATTCTTTGGTATATGACCCAAATTGAATATACTCAAATCAAGCAACCCATTTACCACCCGCTTTGAGTCATCTCTAGAAGCTAGTAGAGTAGTAGGTAAGATGACTTCACTAAATAAAAGATGACGTAGTAGATAATTTGGTCATAAGAAAACCCTAATGACTTCTCATAGATTCAAAAAGTAAAAACAAAGTTAAGTTTTGACTGTGAATATAAAAGAAATGCTTGGGCTTTTCGTGAATAAATAACATGATGATGATGAGATGAAAAAAAAAGAAGGGTCCAAACTAGTGATTCCATGAAGTACTACGGGTAAAATTGGTAAGTTTGACACAATGACTACGTTACTCTTAAACATGTGATTTTCTTCGATGTAAGTGCGCATGTCCCCATGTTTTGCTCGATTGGACCAAAATTCAAACCTTGATACAGTTCGTACATATAGTCTTTTAGGATAAATTTTGTTTATGTACCAAGTAATGGAGTATATGTGTAATGTGTAGTCATCTGATAGCATGTAGAATTGTAATTGTAGGGTCACATGCTGTTTACATAGTATTTTATATTTTCCCTTTTTGAATAATTAATACAATTAAAAATAAAATGCATGTCAATAGATGAATTTGATTGATAATATACATAGATAATTAAATATTAGATGAAGCTCGCACGGTTTGTTTGTGTTTTTCAAATAAAATATTTTATTAAATATATATTTATTTAATAAATTTTGTGATATTCGCTTGCTTATTACTTGAATTTTTTATTATAAAATGAATTATTAACTTTTTTTTTCTTCTCATATTTAGATAAAACTCGTAATATGAATAAATAATATTTTATTTTACAAAGTTTCGTATGTGGCTGGTCACACCGGGTGGTCGGGATTACTTGGTCAGGAGTTACTTTGTTGATCAAGGGTTACTCAATCGATTAGGGGTTATTTTATGACCAGCCACACAAAAAACGCGCCACACAAAAAACGCGCTCATTTTATTTTTATAATTAATATAAATTTTTTGATCAAATTGCAATTCTTTTTTTTTCATTGGCTAAAATATAACATTTTCCAATGTGACGCTCTAAAATTAATCTTACGTGGCATAATCCTATTGTAGCGTTTTAAAATTATTAATTCTACGTGGCGCTTTTTTATTATAATCCTACGTAGCGCGTTAAAAAAACTAATCTAACGTGGCATAATCTGATTGTAGCGTTTTAAAAATATTAATCCTAAGTGGCGCTCTAATAATTTTTTTAAAAATAAAATCCTAGGTGGCGCTTTAAAAACTCGGGTAAAAACTCCCCTTTATATATATACTAGTTTTGTGCCCGAGCAATGCCCAGATGGTTGATAAAATTTTAAGATAATATTTTTACTTAAATGTTAAATACGGTCAAATAATTCGTTCTGATAATGTAGGATATTTAGACATACGATATCATATGGAGTGTACTTCGTATAGTTTTGTTTGTAAATAGATATCTATGTTATTATTGATTTAAAATTATTTGTATAGAACTTAAATTATTTTCACTTAAATGAAAGTATTTTTACCAAACTAAAATTATTTTTACTGATTAAAACTTATTTCACTTATTCTCTAAATTTTTTTAAAATAAATTAAATAATAATGCATTTTGTATGCGGCTAACTACACCAGAACAAAGTAACCCATATAAAAATGATCGAGTAACCCCTGTAATACTAACTGAGTGACCTCTAACACTGACTAAGTAACCCTTATCTATAACATTGATTGAGTAACCACTATAACACTGACCAAGTAACTCCTATAGCACTAACGAAATAACTGTAATCTTGTAATAGTTGGTGAGACGGTTTGGCCAACTACGTATAAAAGTTTGTGATTAAATATATTATAAATGGATCTTGTTTTAAAGAACTTTTTAAAACGAATTTGTTGATGGAAATAGAATTGAGTTATAGGATATTTATTAAAAGTTATGATTAATTTTTTATACATGAAATATTAGAATTTTATCGATAATAAAACTCTATGCAACAATTTTATCTTTAAAGATCTGTCCAAAAATCGCTTACTTAGCATCATATGTGTCACAATAATAACTATTTATCTCCTGCATGGCGCGACACTTGGCAAAAAACTAGAATGCCAAGTGTCGCTGTCTCGTGGCCTAGCTGCGAGACTGGCTTTATTTATTAGTGATATGATACTGATATTAGCTTAGTGAAAATTATGTAGTAAAATAGTTAATATAATGAAAATTTACATTAATTCATATCTAATAACCTTTTTGCATGATAATAATTGGTTGAAAAAATCAAGATAGAGAGGGAATTGCAAGATGATTTATTTATCCATGCCCAAAGAATTAGCCTTGAGATAAATAATTTGAAGATCATCCCATTATATTACATTATTACTCAAACAATTTGAATCAAAAATCAAATTTTCAAACTTAATTTGTTCATCCCCAAGCTGAATAAGAAAATCCACCACTTTGGTTTTGAGGATGATGGACAAATGGAATGAATGATGAAATTTAAAAAAAGAATGAATGAAATTTGATTGAAATCTAAAGTTTGAGCGTGAATTGCAATGGAGGAATGAACTTTGGTTTGAACGAGAAAAAGAGAAAAAGGTTGGAGGTCAGACTTTTTTTCTGTTTTTTTAAAAAAATTAATGTAAGTTCAAGTAGCGGTTTTCCCACCTAAACTGCAATTTCAGATAGCAGTTTTGCCAAAAAAATCGAAAAAAATAATAATTTAATTGTACCGATGACGTGGACAGTATATTGAGAATTTATAAAAAAGTAAGTGTAATTATAGAATTGCAACTCTTCTCAACATTATTTTGGGAAAGCACTCATAAAATGTAAGATAATCCAAATTAAAATTGTCAGTTCGGGTTGACGATTTGGTTTCGGATTGAAAGCAGTTTGGGTGAAACAAATTTATTTTGATGCCAAACCGATCTGAGTTAGTTTTGTGCAATTTCAAATCAGTCCAGGCTCTAATAATATCGATTCCAGTTAAAGCGAGTTGATTTGAGAACAAAAGTTAAGTTAAATCAAGTCAATATTAATACATACGAAGTATTTTTTTTTTTTTTTAAAGCGTCAAGGACATATAAGAACTTAATTCTTGTAGACATTAATTATTAACTACTCCATTATATTTTTACTTAGATTAGATGCTCTCAAGGGAGGGTAGGAAATTAGGGAGCTGGCTTATATTTTGAAAGTTGAAGTGGATGGTCAATATCATGGGAAAGAAGGGAATGGTCAAAATAATGGAAAAGAGGTGGAGGGTATGTTAGTTGGAAAAAAACAGTTACATCAAAAGAAGATAGGCCAAGAAGCATGTGCTACATCTCCTCCCTTTGTCATCATCATTTTACTAACCTAATTTTGCCACTCTTGGTTACCTCAATTAATGCCTTTATTTTAAGGTCTTACTTCTCCACCGTGGCATAAGAGGAGTTCCATGTTTGATTTATTTATTAATTTACTATAATTTTATTGGGTATGATTGTTTTTTTTTTTTTTTTGGATGGAATAAAAGGAGTAAAGGTGTAAAAATTCTATGGTAATTATCTTTAAAATGATGATATGTTAGGAGTATGAACTAAATTTACAAAAAAAATTATATTGCATTAACAAATCATATTGATGTGGATGTTAACTAATTTAGTAAGTTAGAGTCACAGAATAGATGATACTTAAAATTTGAGATTGTATCCTATCTATATCATTGCATTTAATAATAGTTGTCTTGAATCACATAAATATATCAAATTTGCATGTTAGACTCGTAAAATTTGATATCACGACCTTTAAGTTATAAAATTAAACTCTTACCATCACTAGATCAAGCCTTATCCCTTGTGTAAAGTGAGTAGATGCAAGAAGAGGAGAAACTTAAAGTTGAGACCCAACTTCCAAAATGCTACCACACATAAGGAATAGTAAAAAGTAAGGATTTCTACTCTTCAACTGAAATCTTGCCACATTAACTCAATTTGATTTGTGATCATTGAGAGATATTCTATAGGTGGGTGTAAAAGTGACCATATAATTTTTTTTTGTTTTTTTAATAAAAGGTGACAAATTTGCATACTTACATTCTCTAATTGAGGGCACATGTTAGTGTTGGTTATTGGTTATCTATCCTTTTCATTTCCCTCCTTTTTGCCTGCAAGAAGTGGTGTCCATACTCTCCACCAAGCTTTTAATAGCTTAACTTGCCGACCAATGTAGCACAAAAGCTCAACAGTTAATGATACATAACCCTTGGATTGTACAAAAATTTGTACCTCACAATCATAACAACCATTAAAATTGCTAATCCGAGCCATATATCTATGTAAAATACTAAAATGCCACCACAAACCCGTCTTTTAAACCCATATCGTTATTTTTGCACCTTTTGAGGACAAACAACATAACATAGATATCAAGAGAGAGAAAAAAGAAGCAATAACTAAAAAAGTGTAGTATCATTAATTTATATATCAACACATCTGCACTTGTTAACTCTAACCTTACAATTCAAATGATTGGTTTAGAGTAACAGGCCGAGGTTGTAATTTTCTTGGGTCAACCCAATTACAAAAATAAGGGTGAAAAAAAAGAAAGAACAATCAAACTGATAACAATGCAGTCAAAAGAAAACCAACAAAAAAAAAAAGAAGAGAGGAGACAAAGATAAAAAGTCAAAAGTAAAAAAAAAAAAAAAAAAAAAAAAAAAAAGGGTGAAATTCCAGGAAAAAACTGTGGATTTTTTTTATGTTTCTTCCCTTAGTTTATAATTAGTCCCTCTCTTCATTAAGAATTTTCCTATGAATAATTAATCTTGAACCCAATTGAGTTAAGATAATTTGTTGCTGTTAATTAAAGCTGTTATTATACATCAGCAGCGAGAACCTTTCCTGCAGTTAAGTGCACCAGCATTAGAAGTAATTGAGCCAACAAGGGTTGATGGCCTAGCTCCCAAACTTGAGGCCCTTGCATAGCTGCCACCAGCACCCGATGGCGTAAAAAATGCACCATTAAGCATTAGGTCACCTTCTGACCTCCAATTCCAATTCTTCCATTCACTCTCCGGGGCATCCTCGTGTTTAGTCACCTGAAAAATATGACACATTCATTAAGTTATTCTGAACAATATAAAACATGTAACACGTCTAACAAGAATATACATCGATACCTCACACAAGAGGCCGACTGCCTATTATATTACAGTGAGTCCGTGACATGCTGAAAATGCATCTCACGGGGCATACTTTAACACCCACGGACTTTTATCGATTTTTAGATAACAAATGGGTATGAAAATGTTACAAAAACGTTACCTCTTTGCTGAATCTTCTATCAGGGGCTAAAAATCTGTTGCCTTGACTATTGATGGTAGGATTAGCACTCCCACCTATGGCATACATTTCCCAATGGGTGTAGTCATTGTTTACCACATGGAAGTATCCATGTCTACATCTGCAATTGTTGTGGAATCAATATCAGCCCCACTTTTTAACATCACTAGCGTTACATTTTGACATAGCATAGGAAAGTTCAAAAGAGCAAAAAATAAAACTAGAAATCACACTAATTTTTATGTATGTCACAATACTCAATAGTCAAGACTCACCTGACCTCTATATCAAAGTACGAATACTTCACTAATTTAGTTAAAACAGTTCTATCTTTTTCATTTTTTCAGTATTTGCAGCTTTTTTTTAATCTCTCATTGGAAATGGCTAAAAAAAAAAAAAATTGATCTTAACAAATTTCGAAAATTGAGAGGTTTCCACATTTTTAAGAAAAGGATATTTATATTCCAAATTTTAGCAAAAAAAATGTGTTTTAACTTGCTTTTTTTAAAAAAAAATTAAAACAAAATGATTCTACATTTAGCATTTAATATTTTATATAACATTTCCTCTGTTCAAGCATTATTCATCATAGCATCACCAAAAATTATTGCACAAAATAAATCAAATCTTGGTCTTTAAAAGTGAGCTAATGTTGACAATATAAACAAGCATTAATTAGCAAGAATCATAATAAATAGTGATCAATTTCAGAAATTTACCTTGGCATCCTCTGAACAAGACCTTCACCAAAGTGATTAAAAGCAATGGTGGCTTGCATATTCTTATCAGCAGTGTAAGAGTCACTATGGCCTAACAACATAACCTTATCATGGTGAGTCATGTAATTGTTAGAGATGGTGATGGCAGTTGAACCCATGATAGCATCAACCAACCCATCCATACAATTAGACAATGAACAATGATCAACCCAAACATGGCTAGCACCAAAGAGGGACACCCCATCGCCATCCGAAATCGTCCGCCATCCGTAATGATGAGGGTTACTCCGCACCATAGCATTGCCACCTTGCTTACAATCATGTATGTTTATGCCATGAATGATGATGTTGGTAACATATTGTATGGTAATGCATGGTCCACCAGCAATGTGAACACTAGCTCCCCTGCCATCAATAGTCTTGAAGGAATTCATGATCAACTCTTCTTTTAATCTGATTACCATGTCTCTTTGGAATATGATCCATAATGGTTCATCTTGGACCACAGCGTACCTAAGGGTGCCTGGTTTGGGGTTAACAGGGTCATCATCACCCGAGTCGGTGACCACGTAAATGCGCCCATTTTTGCCTCCAATGGCATTCTTTCCGAACCCAATAGCGCAATCTGCTAGCCTTTGGCGGTTCTCATGCCAATTTGGATCACATCTCCAGCAATCATCAATGGGGTTGCCTGTTCCACATGAGAGGTAGCCCAAGTTTCTCCTAGCAATGGACTCATTGATACTCCTGCATAAACAGGGGAAGACATGTAACACATTATTAATTTTACAATCAAGAAATCATTTTTATAAAAAAACAAACTAAAAGCAAAAGCTCAAAACAACCTAGAGTCTAAGAAATTGATAGAAGATGTTGTACATTATAAGGACTCTACACAAAAGCCTCAAATTCCAAGACACAATTCTCTAAAATGACCTTGGAGGCACGGCTCACTATAATGTGACACATTTTATTACTTCCTCTGTCCTAGAAAAGTTGCTACGTAGCAATGTGACAATTAATTTGTAGATTATTAATAAATCTGACAAAACACGGACCTATTGATTACAAATTCCCCGAACTCTTGGAGCTCGAATTAATTAAACAATGCAAGAAAACATTGAGAAGAAGTGGAGCCAATAGAATGCACCTACCTATGTACTTCATGTACAACAAGTTCAGGGTCAGGGACAACAGCTGGTGAAGAAAGAACAAAGATAGGAGCTAACAAAGCAAAGAAGAGGAAGAATGACATTGCATATCTTGCCATTTTAGAGCTTCACTTTCTCTTTCACTCTCTCTCAATTTTGTGCAATTTGTGTGGGGGAAGAGAGAGAAAGGGAGGGAAGAAGTTTGAAGTGTGTGTCTGTTAGTTTTTGGATGATAAAAATGGGAGGGAGGGGCAGATTATAAAGAGGTAAAAAGCCGGGTTAAATGGCGTGATTAAACTATAAATTAAGTGGGACCTACCATTTTTAATTTGGGTATTAAGTGGGTCCCTCACTGTGCTTCGTGATTACTGGTTTTACGGGATACCCTACTGGTAATTTTTGGTTGTTAGAGAAAAAACACCCTACATACATACACATTCATACCATTTCAAAAACAAGCTAAGATTATTAGTTTAGCACAATATAGAGCATCTTCCAATCTCGAGATTGGGGTTAGAGGGGATCCTTTACCCTTCTCTCTCATTTCCAAAGTATTAAAAATACTTAAATAAACTGAAATCAGGTTGACTCGTGAAAGATTTCAATTTAATAGACTATTCATCTTATCTACCTTTCAATAACCTTAATTGAGTTACCAAAGAGCCCTTAAACAAATGAATAAAATCATACACTATTTCAATAACATTTTAATTGGCCTTTCTCATCTACTTTTCATAGTTTTCTTTCTAATATATTTTTTGTCAAAGATAATCACGCATGTGGTACCAATATTATTAGCAAACACTATAGAATAATTAAAAGTATTGCATGGTCTAGTATGGGCCTAAACAATAAACATGGGAGGTTGTGGGTTTTAACACAAATAATAGCAAATTTGCAGTTGACGATGTCTAATGTTTGTTAGGCGTACTTATTAGCTGAAAATGATGCATTTTTTTTATCTAGTTACCTACATTTAACAAGACTTCTATCAAAATTGGCCCCTCAATTTCAAGGTAAAAGGTCATTCTATTGAAATAGCTATAACAATATTATACTAAAAGAGAACCAACATAAACAAAATGGACTTTCATGTACCAAATCTGTAGCTTGAAATTACGTAAAAGAAAAGGCAGGGGCACTAACAAAAGGATTTGGGTAATGTACTAGATTGGATGATCAATGCATGCAAGGGACTCCTACCAACGGCGAGGTTTAAGAGATTGAATGTATGTAACTCGTCCTACAAAAAAACGTCAAAAAACTAGTGAAAATATACTCTAGTGTGACTACTAAATTTGGATTGATGTAAAGAAAATTATCCACATAAAATAGTCAAACGATATATATGAGGTTCCAAAGTTGACTCACCTTGTTTATATGATCTTTTATAATGGCAAATTAGCCTGCCTTGAAAAGAAAAACTAAAAAAAATGAAGAAAAGTTTGTCAAATATGGAAAATAGGAAGCTGATATTACTTGAACATTTGCAATTTGCTTTAGTTGAGTGAGCTCAAAGAAAATTTGGCATCATCATAGCTAAAATCAAGTAAGGAAATAAAGACAGACAATTCATATTGTCATGCAAGAAAATGCCATGCAGGATGAAGTCTTCTCATGACTCAAGCATGAGACTAATTAAAGTTCATATTGGCCTTTAATCTTTATAATTTAGGTTTTAAAAGTTCCTTTTTTTATTTTTATCAAACCAAATAATTTAGTTGTCTTTTCTTTTTGGTTGTAAGCTACTTCGTACATCATATCACCTGTTTTACTAATTTATGAATAACTTATATTGCATTCTCTTCACCTACTTTTCACTAATACGAACTTATATAAATTTCACTCAAATTATTTTAGTTCTAAATAATTGAACTTAGATAACCCTTATTTTTCTTGAATGAATTTATCTATCAGAACTTCTAACTTTGATATGAACTTATCTTAACTAATCAATTCCAAAATAAGTGAAATTTAAATGAACAAAAAACGGTCATAGATAACAACATAACTTCCGGAGTCCAAAAAAAAAATCTGGCACACACAGAAAAAGAATTAAGGAGGAAATTAGTTATCTCATTTATGTACAATCAGGAAAAGGCTTCAGCAAGAAACAGGGCACTACAGAGCCAAAAGTACAAAGAAACTTACAGTATAAATTTCCAGATTAGTGCTTAATCTTTTAAGGTTACCTCCCCCAATAATTTTAAAACCCACCTCAATGTTGGAGATACTTCAAAAGCTCATTACTTACTAGGACTCCATTAGGAATAGTCTATTTGCTAAACTAGTTAGACAAACAGGGGTGAAATGCCATTAATATGAATAATATCCTTAATAACTAAGCTGTACTTGGACTTGAATTAAGGGCACTTTCGAATTATTCGAGTGTATCGACCTTTCACCCTCGATCTGTTAATTTCCCAGTTAGGGAATAAGACAGACTAGAGTACATTATGGTGTTAATTCACTTAAACAACAAAACATGAGCGAAAATCCCACATTAATGAGTACTTAAGAAGAAAGGTAGTTATCACATGGCATTATGGCAAGATCATACAACCGATTTTGTAGATAAGTTATGAAATTAATTAGCTGAATCAAAGGGCCCTAGTTGTTATCTTTGACAATGAATAAAATCAGTACATTATGTCTAATAATTTGCACTGAAGAACCAAAATCCTGTATACCCCAGATTAACAGATTAATCAACTGGGGAAAATATTAGGTCCCATGTAAAAAGAATGCACTTACCAAGCACTCAGTAAAGAAGCACAGATTTTAGGGCCCAATTTTGATTTCCAAAGCTTATTTCAATAATTTTAGAGTTGTTTTCTGATAAGTGAGAGCCTGTAATCAGTAACCACATTTCACAGATGCTTCTAAAAGTGGATGAATTTAGATGAAAACAGATAAGTGAAGAGAATTTTCCTAGCCATATAGAGATCATTTCATATATGCATGTTTTATTAACATTTCATGTGGTTCTATTGCGTTAACAAATCTATATGCTTAAATCTTGATGGCTGCCTTTTAAGAATTCCGGGATTTGATCCTACGAACTTTTTTAGGAAGATTGAATTCTAACTACTAAGCTAAACCTCAACATGTTTCTATGTTTACAGAAGTTTAATTCATGATTGTCGCTCTATATATTGTGCTCTACATAACATGTAGCATTTTGGCAAGCAATTGAATTTACAAATTTGGTTTGTACCAATAAATAATTTAATTTGCTCTTAGTTTTGTATCACAAAAAGGAGCAATACGGTATTTCGAGAATATCACAAGATTCATCTCAATACATATTTTCGAAGTTATCAACTTCATCTTTTCAAAGCATGAAAAAGAACTTTCAAAAACGGTTCTTCCTAAGGGAGTAGAGAAACCTAATGTGATTCCACAAATCTATACTGTAGCCCTATAGTATTTAACCCCGTAAACCAATACAAACACAACAAACAGGCGTTTACCAAATAAAGAGAGAGATTAATTAGTTAACAATCGCCTTAACTGCACATACGTTACCAAATCAAGAGAAAGATTAAGTAGTTAACAACCTCCTAAATTGCACAATAGTACCATTATCTTCATGACAATAGCACATGCATTTGTGCTCAAAATCAAAGTTAAGTAGGTCCAGTTGGTCCCTCCGTATCAATAATTTTGAACCTATTTGCCCACAATTTCTTCTCCTTATTTAAGAATACTTTGCTCTTAAATTTTTTGTCCGCAATGTTCGCCGTAGGTTTCAGACAACCAAGAGACCGTCAGCAGTTGTGAATTTGTGATTAACCTGCTTGATGTTGCACTACAACCCCCTCCTGTGCACCCCCATGCCAAGTTTAACTTTGTAATATAACAAAAAAATTTAACACCCAACAAGTCCAACTTAACGGATCCAAATAACTCTATCATTTCATATCAGTATTGGTATAGATTATGAACGACGTGATGATACTAAATTGCCTAATTTTTTTTTTATGTAAAGCCCGTCCTCAAATGGTCAAAGAATCAACCAATTTAAAAACCTGGGCAAATCATAGAAAGCTACCCTTCACATGGGCACTATTACTTCCCTAGTGTCATATGGACAAATTCATTTCTAGTCGTGAATGAAAATAGTATGCCGTATGTTGATATCTTAATGTTAGGATAGTGATGGTCATGAAGGACCTTTTTGTGTGGGACGTTCAAAGGGTAACAATGAGGTTACAATCTTTGGAGCTGAATTTTTTGATATCTAATAAATGCTTGATGCAACTCAAAGGTATTGGGTTGATTGCCCAGCTCAACGCCAATAAACTCAAAGTTATAGCATCCGTATCAGTAAATCACAACTCCAAATAACCGAAAATTATCTTCCTTATTGTCCTAAATGCCTTCTATGGGTTTCTAAAATCCTCAAAATAACTCTCTCAATATACGTTATAACACTAATAGGCATATCACAGTTATAAACTAGGCAAACCTAACAGACAACCAAGATGAACTCCCAAAAGACAGTCTAAAATGGAAGAGCCGCTATATAAAAGTCTTACAACTTCGATTACAATCAAATATTTCAATAATTAATTCTTTCCCTTTAACTCTTACTTGTACGTGATATGAGATTGTTCAAATTTCTCTCTAGTTGAGCTCAATCAAAAAAATCACCTCTCTAAATCTTCATGATAACAATTTTTTTTTTTAACAATTTGTAACAATATGATACAAAATGGTGTAAAATTCCCTCATTGTCATCATCTGTAGTAGTTCTCCTTACTAAACTTAAAGCTAAAGAAATCAAAGGAGAATTGGAATGCCCGGAAATGCTAGAGTTTTAATGCTAATAACCCTAACAAGTAACAACTGATTTTCCTAACATGGAAGCTGGATGAATCACAGAGACGATATTAGATGTCAAATATAACATGGCTTGTTTCTTGATACAAAAAGAACATTCTAACGAATTAACAATATTTATGTAACTGTCAACCCTGTTAGGGATCTAAACAGGGGACAAAAAGATAACGTGAAACCCTGAAAATTTTGAAGAGTTAAAGATAAAATGAATATGAAGATAAGCAGAAAAAGGGCCCAAAGGTCATGTTAGTTTAGTCAGTGAGAAGAGGAAGATTATGACAGGTGCTTCATGAAAGCAACTTAGGAACTTCTAAGCTTAGAGCCTCTTAAATTCTCTTATGGTCCAATACCATGTGTTCATCTCTTTGAATTGATAGTCTTGTGACATTTATCACAT